CCCAGTCCATCTGGAAAGTGGCTAACCCACGGCGAGGAACAGCCCTGCCACCCCCCCCACCCAGTCCACCTGGAAAGTGGCTAACCCACGGCGAGGAACAGCCCTGCCACCCCCCCACCCAGTCCACCTGGAAAGTGGCTAACCCACGGCGAGGAACAGTCCTGCTGCCCCCCAGTCCACCTGGAAAGTGGCTAACCCACGGCGAGGAACAGCCCTGACCCCCACCCCACCCCCCAGTCCATCTGGAAAGTGGCTAACCCACGGCGAGGAACGGCCCTGCCGCACGCGGACAACCAGAGGGAACGCTGTAGCAAGATGGCAGCGGTCTGAACACCTCAAGTGCTTGGCCAGTAGTGATTCCTATAGCAATGGAATGTAAGTGAATTCTCGAAAGTCTGTGCTTTTCAATTAACTAAACATTCTTCTATGGCCCTGTCTAATTGATATCTATGGCTGTAAGCAATTTCTAATCTGAGACAAATTTCATTAAATAAAAAAATTGAAAATTAAAAAGAAAGTTGGTCTTGGTAGAGCACACCTATGGTCCCAGCACTCAGGAAGCTACAACAGAAGAAGAATGAGTTGAATCAGCTTGGGTGACATAGTAAGACCCCCAAAAATACACAGACACACACATATACAGACACATACATGCACAAATTTAGTTTAGGAATTTGTACTGGGGAGGTCAGAATACAAAGAAATGACCACTGAAATCAGGATAGTGATTCTTTGCTTTAGAATGTTAGATTTTTTGAAGACAGGGTCTCACTCTGTAGCCCCCGCTGGCCTAGAACTCATTATGTTGCCCTAATCAGCCTCAAACTTACCAACTCTCCTGTCTCAACTAGCCTTCCAGACTCCTAGAACTACAGATGTGAGCCACCATGTCAGCTGTGATGAACTCAAGTAGAGCAAAGATTACTGTCCTTTGGAACAAATAGTTAAGGAGTGATCATCTGTATAGTGTCTGGGCTTGGTTTTTGGTTTTTGTCCTAAAGAGAATGACTTATACATAGTAGATTATTTCTGACCTGGACAATAACTACAGGGTATTTGTTTACCATTATTTATAGAACTATGCTATTCTATTTTCTTCTCTGCAGGTACGTTATTTTCTTCTGATTCTATAAAATCCAAAACAAACCCAGAAAGCGTTAGGTACAAATAATCATAACAGCATTTCAAAGAACTGAATGATTTGTCATCAAGCCTGAAAGTTCCTCTAAAAATAAGCTAATAGGGCCTACATGATGTGGCTGTACAACAAGCCCTATAATAAAGTTGTCTCTGAGAGGCCACTTCCCTTCTGAGTTGGTTTAAATATCTTAGAAATGGATTAGACATATACCTTCCCAGAATTCCTGAGGATTGGGAAAAGTGTAAGTGAATCTCTGTGCCCAGGCACCACACTTCCTAATTTATAGCTCTGATAATGGTAAGAATGTAGGTGATCCCAAGAACATGGCCCACAGAATCAACTAAGCAGGGCTCATAGGGGCTCACAGAGACTGAAGCGGTAATCACAGCCTGCATGGGTCTGAGCTAGGTCCTCTGCATACACCTTACGGCTGTGGAGCTTGGTGTTCTTGTGGGTCTCCCAACAGTGGGAATGAGGGTGTCTCTGGCCCTTTCCTCCTACTGGGTTGCCTCGTTCACCCTTGATATGAGGGTTTGTGCCTAGTCTTATTGTAACTTATTAGGCTGTGTTCAGTGGATGATAGCCTTGGGAGGCCTGTTTTGTTTTGTTTTGGTTTTGGTTTTTTTTTTTAAGGGAAATGGAGGAGGAGTGGATCTGGGGGAGAGAAGAGGTTTGGGGAAGGACTAGGAGGAGTGGAGGGAGGGGAAATTGAGGTAGAGATGTAATGTATGAGAGAGAAAAAGAATGTAGGTGATCTCTAACTCCACCAGGCTCTGAAAATCTCTACCTGTGTTTCTCTGCCTTCTTAACAGAGGCACGAAGACCAAGTCCTGTGCAAAGACCCTTTCTTAGTGCTAGGTCTAAATGAAGTTTGACCATATTGATAACTTCACATTTATTTCTTGCACTTTAAGTTACGCTTAAACTATGTACATAATATACTAAAATAGCCATGATTCTAATTTTCTTCCTTTATCAGAAAGAAGACTGTAATCCTGAACCACTGTGTGTGCTGGGACCAAACCCAGTCTTCTGCAAGAGCACAGACATCTCTCCAGTCTGCTGCTTTATTTTCTCAGCACTAACATCAGCACTATGCTGAAGAGAACATCTCCAGTGAATACAAAGAGCAACGTGGACCCAAATTAACTAAATAGGACACCACAGGATAGTCTGCCAGACAGTCAGGGTACCTGCTCCATCCAAACCGAAGCCTAAACCAAGAAAAACATCTGCTAAGAATGAACCCAGAACGAACATTGGCGGAGGCTCTGGAGGGGGGAAACGGCTGACTGGAGAGCAGGCATTGGCATCATCGGGAAGGGTGAGAGCGGAGCTGAAGAGACAGAAAACTCAGTCTGCAGACAGCATGGGAGAGTGAGCTCTGTGGAAACTCGAGGGCAACTTTTCAAAGCTATTTTTACTAAATAGTTCGTGAATACTAATTTTTATAAGACTCTACTAATTGGATTACCCATACATACATTCTCTCTGAGTCATTCTTTTTTTTTTTTTTTTTTTGGAAATTTCCATCATCCTTAAGTAAAATAAATGTTGATTTAATGTTGTAAGCCGTATATAATGCTGATTCAGCATTCCATATATGTACTTTAAAGTTTTAGTCTTGTACATACTGTGGTATTTTTACAGAACATATTTGAATTTTTCATGGTTTTCCTGGAGCAAAAATCTGTGATTTTTACCTAGATTTTATGTGATTTTAATGAAACATGGGTAATCATGGCCACCTGCTAATTATTTATGGTTTAAAATAAAAGGTATTTGCTAGGCATGGTGGCTCACTCATAATTCTAATACTTGGGTGGCTGAAGTAGTAGGACTGTTGTTGTGAGTTCAAGTCCAGACTGAGCTACATAGATGCTGTCTTTAAAAATAAAAAAAATTACTCATCAGTAATAATTTAATCCCATTCAAAAAAAATCTTAGTAATCCATGCTTAAGAAATGATTTCCTGGGCTAGGTATAATGATGCTCACCTTTAATTTCAGCTCTCAGGAGGCTGAAGCAAGAGGATCTCTATGAGTTTGAGGCTAGCCTGATCTACATAATGAGTTCTAAGACAGCCAGGGCTACATAGTGAGATAATGCCTCAAAATAAATAAATAAATAAATAGATGGATGGATGGATGGATGGATGGATAGATAAAGCGAACAACAGCAACAAAAGAAACACTACACTATTAAAACCTAGCAGAATAGAACACTATCATCCATTCTGGGATACAGGCACTTCTACAATCAAGGACTCAAACCTGACTGTAACTCCAGTCTCGGGGAACTTGACACCCTCTCTGGCCTCTGTGGGCACTGCACACAGGCAAACCCCCAGGCACATAAAAGTAAATAAATATAGCAGTCCGAACAACAGCACCGACCACCTGAACCCCGTACCAGACAGCAGCTGCAGGAAGTTGTTATGGGGAGTTGTTAGCACTGATCAGGGTGGATGGGGACAGAGGAGGAGCGGCTGACATTCCTGGAGCACTGTCATCTATACAAAGGACCTAGAACGAACTTGTCATGTGACCTTCAGGCAAACCTATCAAGTATCATCTTCATTTTTTAATAGCAGAAAGATATTAGAGCTATTAAGAAACTTGAGGGAGTTCTGCAAGTTTGTAGGATTCGAACCAAACACTCTAGTTGTTAGCAGAAATAAACAGACATGCACAAAAGGCGCGTGTCTGACGGCATCGCTATGTCTTCCCTACCCTACCTACTCCGAAGACGCTCATTATCCAGCTTAAGTAAAGTGAAGTCCAGACACAGTGGGTCACCTTTCCACGCATCACCCTCCATTCCAAGCGGGACATAACAATTCGGATATACGATCAAAAAAATAAAAATACAAGTTGCCCACCCAAACCAACGAGCTTGCCCACCTGGAAGGGTCCAGGTCTAGATGCAGGCACTGGCAGTGATGCTCCCTGGGAGACAGTGGTGGAGGGCCACAGAGGCCTGAGCTTCACCTCTTCTATGCCTGTGAAAGGAGGCTGGAGGCCCAGGGCCTAGGTGCGGGGGCTATGTTCCTAACAGGCACAGCAGGATTCAGACAAGAATTCCATGCTGCTTGTGTAGCTGGGTCTATGAAACTCCAAAGCCAGAGTTCTCAACTGGACATTCAGAGTGCTAGATGGAAGAGAGCAAAAATCTTATCTTATATATAAGAGTCAAACCAGACAATGCAGCCCCACTCAGGATGATCCCAAACCTGAGCTGGCCTCGTGCCAATAAAACGCCAACTACAGTCACTCGGATGAAATAACCCCACAGCCCACCTGAAGGACCACATCAACATGAGGATGCTTACACGTTTCGGGACAATGTGGTTGGTTGCAGACAGGATGTGGAAGCCCTGGAGCTCTCCAGCTTCCTGCCTCAGCCTCCCCTGCTGGAACTGCAGAGGTACAGTTGCCATAGCTAACCTCCTTCCCAAGCTTCTTAAAGATAAATCTTCATTTAAGAAGTTTAGGGGGTCGGCCGGGCGGTGGTGGCGCACGCCTTTAATCCCAACACTCGGGAGGCAGAGCCAGGCGGATCTCTGTGAGTTCGAGGCCAGCCTGGGCTACAGAGTGAGTTCCAGGAAAGGCGTAAAGCTACACAGAGAAACACTGTCTCAAGAGAGAAAGGATTCTGAAGGCGAGGGACGTTGAGATCGTGATGGGAGGACGTGCAGAGATGACCGGCCACACTAGTGGAAGCCCATGAACTGTGGACTGGTGGCTGTGGAGCCCCCACGGGACTGGACTAGGCCCTCTGGA